GCATTTTTATTGTTCAGATGTTTCTGAAATGTACAGTCTGTACATATGTCCTGAAAATGTTTTAATTCCTTTGGCATGGTTGCCATGTTGGTTAAATTTGTATGAGGCAATAAACTGCCACTAATTCTACTTTCCTTTTGTAGATGTGGAATTATGGTTTGTATCCTGAAGTTAGCATGGCTGTGCTTTACATAATAGTATGGCTCGTAGGGATGGATCTCGAATGTGTATTATAGTGGAGATATTTATGTGCATACAGTGTACATCGAGGGCTGCAGATTTAGAACTAACGTTTATGTCTGCTGTACCTTCTGTTTTTCTCAAAAGCTTTGAAAATGTATTATGTTGTTGATCACCACTGGTGTTAAACCAAGAGTGGACTTTGAAGGAGATAGTGGATTTGATGCAAAGATTTAGATGATGCTGGGGCTTGTTTAGTAATTTTTTAGAAAGGCTACCTCAAGCGGACACTGTAAAGGTTGACGGATGAGTACCGTAGCCATCTATGCATTTTATTTGTTTGGGAAAAATCCATGTAAGCTTCCACATTTTTTTTTTTTTTTAAACACAGTTTATACATTTGTGGTCTTCTAATGGTTTTAATCAGCAGCTGCACTGTCATTTATCATAATCCTGGGCTAATAAAGGCATTTAAGATGGGAAGAGGGAGGTAGAAAGAAGAAAATTATTACAAAGGATTTCAGTTTCAAGCTTCCAAAGCATTTTTATAAGTGTAAACATTTAAAATAAGAATTACCTGATAGTGTCCTTTTTTAAGTCATATTTTCTACAAATAGTAAGGATTGCAGTTTGTGCTGAACATTTCATCTGGCAGATTTTTTTTTTTAAACAGGTTGTTAGAAGCAAAAACCAAAATGCATTATAGAAAAAAATCATATCATTAAAGTCCAGGTCTATTTGATAGATTATTCTGATGACTTGTATACTAAGTGAGGAGAACCATCTGGAATAAACTCTCAATTAATTCCTTTGTATTGGGTGTCACCTTTTCCCTGCATGTTCATTGCCACTTCAAGAGTGTTTGGGTTCCTCCAGGTTTCACTTTCAGACTAAGTGACACTTTGTATGAATAAGGATTTTATGTAATACATACCTTATAAGGAAGATGTAGCCAACAAAGAAATGCAGCAGCCCAAATACAGGAAGAACTTGAAGTGTGACTCATTCATGATCATGAAGTGCCCTGAAGGTAGAAACAAATTGGTATTTGTGCCTTTTTTGCTTCTGTGTGATCCAGGTTGTATAGGCATGATATTTAAATGTTAGGATATTTTGAAACCTCCAGGAGAAAACAAAACGGTGATTGAATTTCTAACAATACACTTCATTCCATAGTACTCAAAGAAGCAAAAATAAACAAACTCCCTTTTTTTTTTTTCTTCCTCCCTGCCCTTACTGTTTTCTGAATTTTCTTTTGACACTGTGATCCTTAGTATTTGAAATCTTTTAATACTGAGGTTGTTCAGGTACTGTCTGCCTATGTTTTTGTTACCTGATTTTAAATCTGAGCTTGAAATAAAGCTTAAGCTTCAACAAGTTCATTCAATTGCAGTGTAAAGCTAAAATACCAAGCTCTCATTTAACATGGGAGGAGAAAAACTTTAGGCCATTTAAGAAATGTCGCGGCTAGTAGATTGTTAGAACTGTCTTTGCAGTCTATCAGGGGATTGCATGGATCCTGTCAAAGCAATGAGGACAACTGTAATTTCCCTTATTTGCTGTTAGGAGTTGCTTCTGGCCTCATTTGTTTTTAATGTTCAGCCTATGAATTTCTGAAATGAGTATGTTCTTGGGCAGAGAGGCTGCAAGGCCAGTGCTGTCAGGGAGAATGGATTACTGATTTCCAGTTATTCCTTCAGAGCTCCTCTTCTGCTGACATTGTTGGGAAATAGAGTGAAAGGGTGGTTTGTTCATAGGCAAAATCCAGGTATTTTGAGAAACAATCTGACCTGAAAGTGGAGACAGCCATCTTAGTACAGTGAAGATGGTGAACATTTTGTTGCAGCTTGTGCAAAGACTGGCCCATGCCAATCTCTGACAAGTGCAGTAATTTGAGGATTTTGCTTTTATTTTTCAGTAACAGTCCTTTCTGGCTTTGGGGTTTAATTTGATCTGTATTCTGCACTTGAGGTAGCAGTGTAATGGGTAGTACAATATTAATGACTGACCACGATCTATGAAAATTACTTAAACCGAGACACCCATTGGAAGTTACCATTGGGAGTTAGTATCTTGCAGGTCTTGGGTTTGGATCCAGGGACACTTGAATTCTTTTTCATCTTTCTGATGCCATTTTATTTCATGTGATTTTTCTTGAAATGGCAAGGAACAGATCTGCAGGACTTCCACAAAGCAGCTATGATTAGAAAAGGTAAGATGAGCAGAGCTTCCAGTGCTGACTGGTCTGATGCAGCTGTGGTCGCTATCAGGGCAGCGGCACTTGGCATTTGACTTTTGGGGGTCATTCAAAGAAAAATCCTGCTGCTTTTAATTGGAGGTCATGTGGGAGTTTTCTTAGGATGTGTGGTTGCAGAGCTGCTGTCTGACAGAGCCTGTGCAGTTACTGTTCATTTCTCAGGGTAGAAGCACAACAGCTGTTAAGTGGAAGCTTGCCCAGGATGCCCTGTGTCCATAGTGACCTAGCTGGGATAGGCACTCTTCTTGAAGCCTCATCTGTCTTTGAAATTTCCTGTGCCTCCAACTGGGATTAATACTGGACTAATACTACAATCTGAGAAATACACCTCTACTTTATTTTTACATTTTTTCTTTTGAAGATACTGCTTGATTAGTTGAACAACATTTCAGAAGTAGAAAACATGTTATTTTAAGGCAGGGCTTTGGCCCCAGAGGTTCACATCTACCTATTGCCATGTAACTACGCAGGTCATTAGCATCAGTACAAAAGGGCTTTCATGTATCTGCCTTGTAAACATAATAGGAGTGGTAGTTTGATTGTCTATTGAAAAAAGATAATTTGAATTGCAGGGCAATTTCTCTGATCATGTTGAGGGGGTACTTAGTACACCCTCATATGCATGCCCATATTTTTTATTTTTTCCCTTACATGTGGATGAAGAAACATGAATGAGCTCATACTTTTAGTATTTACAGCTTACTACTGCTGTCCTGATCAAAGACTATGCAAATAGCCAGAAACTCTTAAGGGGAACCTGAAAGAGTTTGCTGACTTCTACTGGCCCTGGTAGATGTTTGAGCCCTTTCTGCACTGCTGTGCACTGCACAGAACTTTACACACAGGACACCTCCACCAGGTATTAAGCAGGGTAAGACAGCATTTAAATGTGACTCGAGGTTTTGCAATGCAGTTGTATTTTTTTTTTTTTCCTCTTCACCAACAATAGTTATATGTGGGAGAATGTTCCTTAAATCTTAGAAATTTTGGGTCAAATCTGAAACCAACTGAAGGATAGATTTTTGTCAGTTTCTTTACTGGACGGAAAACAGCCTAAGTTTTGAGCTATTGTGTGTCAAATACAATTATAAATAATTTGTATTTGAAAATATGTATAATTTTCTTTGCAAGTATTCATCTTTGTGTAATTACAACAAATACATCTTTAAAATTGAATTTTTTAATTGTAAGTAAGCATTAATGAAGGCATTTATCATTAAATGACCAAGGTGTTTTTAATCACCTAATTTGTTAGTGTAATTTCACAGAAACTGTTCTGAAAGTATTCATTTTACTTAGCATACCAATATGCCACCTACTTCAACAAGAATTTTCTTGATTCTCAGGTTTTTCTTTTAAGAGGTTTGTGAAGTTAGGTTGCTTGTTTGGTTTCTTTTTGTTATTTTGGGGTTTATTTGGGTTTTTTTTGATTGCTTGCTTTTTTTGCTTCATGAAGACCAGAGCTTTATACTAGTAAATAATTACAGAAACTACATCTATGATAACACTACATCTAATTGTCCTTTCCTGTGATCTTAAAACAAGTCAGCGTGACCCATAAAAAAGCATTTGCCTCAATCTGGAGAGAACCTGCAACTAATCCTGCCTAAAGGTTTTTAATCTCAGTGAGTGCCAGTGATGTTTCACATAGCAGCAATGTTAATTATTATTAGACAGTGTCTAATGCCTGAGCAAGAATGCCTGCAACATACAGCCACAGAGGAGGGGTAGATCTGGCTCAGTTTTGTTGTGTTGCTTTTCCTCCCTGTTTTGGTAAATTGTCTGCATCTTCTAGGTAATTTTTTTTTGAGCTGAATCAATGTGGTTTTTTTTGGAATCTTGACTCTTCAGATTTTTGCCTTTTTTTTTTTTTGGACATGCAAATAATATATTCAATTACAACTACACTTCTCATATTCCGTCAAGAAAATGAGAGAAGCTGGTGAAAATAGTACTACAGCATTGTAAAGGTTGTAGTGTGTAATTTTGAGACATCAGTGTCTATGCTAGGAAGAATGGAGGAAAAAATACACAAACAGTTTTTATAATTCATTCAAATAGAACAGAGTTACTGGTAGAGCACAGAAATACTACAGTTGTTGGTATGAAAAGAAGGCGGCTGTGGCTTGAATTTGATTCCAAAAAAACCTGACTGCTTTAGAAAAAAACCTGTGACAATCCAGTTAATAGCCCCCTGGTTAAACACTTAGGCTTTGATGACAGTGTTAGACAATGAGGACTGCAAAGAAAAACACTGGAGGAAGAAAGTTGTGAACAATACTTATTTTTACATTTTTTTTTTCCCCCAAACTAAATGAGAAATGAACCCAAGTTTTTATTAAGTAATGCAGAGCAGTTTAAAAAAATCTTTCTAAAAGATAGACCTGTTTGACAGTGAATAAATGCAGAGCATGTTCTAAGAAGCAACCTATAATTCTTGGGCCATCTACAATCAATTTATTGAAGAGTGAGATTCCCATGATATGGGGAAGTGATCAGAAGCAGTGATTGAGATGATCACCAGTACAACTGTGTTCTGTGAAGAAAGGGTATTTTCAGAATGCATGGTGTCTATTTTTATATGCTGAAAATAAAAACCCTGTTGCCTTTGGTAACCTTTATACATAAGCTTCTGAAGACTGTTTCTGTAAGATACCTTTGAGAAATTGTTTTACTTTTTATGTGTGTGTGTAGAACCCTTGAATTTTGCCTTCTATGTTGGCTGAAAAAGTAACTACTGTAGAGTATGAGAAAAGGTTCTGCCTTTTCTGAGAAATGGGAAATTAAAATTTTAGTAATAGCTGTCAGTTCTTTATTAGTCACAAAGTAAGACAGTTAAGGTGAAGATGACATGTTTACCTTCATGAGTCATCTCTCAAAATTTTAAAGAAACTTTTTTGAAATTGAAATTAAAATGAAATAGCCTTAGATTACTTGATTAAGCAGCAAGCTACTTTTACTTGAGTGCACCCACATGGCTTTTTTTTCTAAAGGAAATAAATTTCACTCTTAAATCTTTATTTCAGCCTTTACTATTTCACTGATACACACCTGATGAAGAGCTTTTACAACTGATTCCATTCAAGATTACAGAGATTTCTATCAGTATCATCTGCATTTTAGAAATTATCTCATGAGTTGGGGCTCAAGTTTGATGTCCTGGGTTAGATCTCAGATATGGCTAGCTGTTCAGCTTCCCTCCTCCCAGCCCTCAAGCAGCTGTGACTATTGTAGTTAGGCACAGATGTCATCCCAGCTTCAGGGAAAGAAAGACAGGAGAGCACTTAGGGAGAATGAAGTTACCAATAATGATAAATCCAGGATAGCTGTAGGAGAACAGCAGCAAAGAGGAGATGGTCAGCCTTGAAGGGGGAAAAAAAAAAAAAGTCAGCAGTGACTTCTTCCAATCCTTTTGAGATAAATAGTCCAGAACACCAATACTTTTGTTGGAGAATGAGCAATTTCAGCTAGCAGAGAAAGTAAATGAGTGCTGAAGAGTATTTTGATCTGTTGGGATTTTGAGGGCTTTGCTGGGGAACTACAGGATAGTATTAGAAAAGGTGTAATGAAATGAAAGAGGTTTTTATTGTAAATGGAGGAGAAGACAGCATGAGTTTTCTGAGGTAAATATAATGGATTTTAACAATCAGTTATATTTAAGAGATACAGCACTAGGGAAGTTTATCCCTCCAATCCTAAAGATTTAAGCATCAGGAAAAGTTTGATTAATACATCCTAATCTGAATTACAACTCTTACCTCCTTATCTGAACCAGAATCTTCATCTAGATATGTTGGTCTGCATTGCTCTTTCCTCTATAAATCACTGTAACAGAATTCAGAAATTAAGACAATTTCAGTTATGAAAACCCAACTATCTTAAGAAATGTTTGTTTCAGTGCTTTTGAAGTTGTTTCTAGCAGCTTACATAGGCAAATAAAGTACAAGACTCTCCTGTTGAAAATCCAGGATAAATAAAGTAGAATAGGTTGAGAATAAGCCACACTATTTTACTTTTTTTAAAAAATAAAAATCAGAAGTGCAACCTAGTTTAATTTGTAATGGGATATAACTAGGCTATAAAAGATAAGGCTGCCTTTTATTATGTGATATCAGATAAATAGTAAATGTGACAGTGTAGAATGCATGATGATATACAGGCTACAATATAGGTAAGATTTTTTAATTATACATTATAAGATGGGGGGGGTGAAACAAACCTGCAGAAGCCTTGACTGTCAAATTTATATATTATATGCATCTTGTTTGGAATTACATGATGCTAACATGTTTTACAAACATCATGGATCTGGAATGAATGTGCTGTGTGCTCTTACCCATTCCAACAGAGCTTCCAGAACAGGTTACTGAAATGACATGAAACAGTAGTGTAACTGTTAGGTGGTAGGTTGTAAGCCAGAAAACATTAGTAGACTGTAGTCTGTGCTATAAAACTGTGCAAACCCATCAGATAGCAGTAGTTTTATAATGACTTAAATGTATGCCCTGGGAAAGGAATCCCAAGGAAATTACTACCCCTTTACACAATTTTTACTTTAAAAAATGTGCTCAGGTGTGATTCATAGAAGTTCTTGATTTGTTTGTTCAAGACCAATAATTCTATAAAACAAAACAATAAAAAATTCGTACCTACTTGTTTCTGTATTCTAGCCACTACTAACCTCTCAACTGACAATTAACTTCCCTCTATTCACCAGGTTATGGGTGACCCAGTTAAGAGGCACCTATGTAAATAAGTATGTCCAGTCCCAAAATGCTCCTGTGAAGTTTCCATCACAGATATTGCAAGATCACATCCATGAATTTACTCTGGAATCAACGCTAGAATAGGAAATTTCTATTCCATGCCACGTTTACTTGTATAACTTCAAATTACATTTTAAGCATCTAGCATGCATGAACAACAATACACTATTCAAAGAAATTTAAATTTTACCTGAATATATTTTTCTAGGACAAAATGTAAGCTTCAGCCCCTTATCAGTAACTGGTGATACTACCACTGTGTAGACATCCCCACAAGGTATTTCAGTGATATCGCAGTGACTGAGACCTGAACTAGGGGTACAGGTGAAATTGCCTTTTGAGCCATGTAAATCAGTATTGTAGTTTATCATTTCATCAGAAGCTCGCCAGTATACCCTGATACCATTACTGCCGAGCCTATACAGCTTCACCCCAGAAGGGCAGCAAGCACCTATTAAAATAAGAAACATTAACAAGCAAATTTTGTAAAACCACAATACATTATAAATTCCTAGAGTGCATTTTAGACCAGATGATACTATCACACTGATACCAGCACTTCAGTAAGAAATTATTATTTTACAGAAGGTCAGAATAATTCTTGAACTGAACTAGGGAAGAAAATGTTTTATCAGAATCATTATGGATCAGGAATTCAGCCACTGTTTTACATGTTGGAAAACTGTTGCTCTTTCCTGACTATGGACTGCCCAGAATCCTCTTCTGGTCTCTAAAATTTAATTATGCCATAGCATAATTAAAAATTGTTTCTGGAGCAATGTTATCAAAACTTTATATAGCCACTATAAGTATATGGTTTAAATGATAGGTGAAAATAATCCAAAGTGCATTTATTTTAAAGAGGGAACTGCAAGTGTATTAACTATGTATTGAATTTCAGCTGCACTATTTGTATGAAAGAAACACTGTACAAAGTAAGTTGCATATCAAGTCTTTTTCTTCACAATTGCATTTACAATGTACATACTGGAAGAATATCCTTGGTACGTGCAACTGGATGTCAAACCCGTTTCACTGATTGCTTTCAGAGACACTGTATAGTTGGTGCTGCAAGTGATGCATCCCAGAAGACAGTAGTTTTGAAGAGTGTGACACTTTGCCTGCCCTTTTGGAGACTCCAGTGTTGTTAAATATGTCTGTGCGCCCATTCCAACAGACCAGCTGATATTTGTTACAGACTGTGTCACTTGAGTTAGTATCAGGTCATTAGGGCAACAAGGAGCTTCAAAAGAACAAAAAATAGAGAAGTCAATCCTGGTTTGTACTTTGAAAATGGAAGGTATTTTGGGGGGTTGCAACTACAATAGTACATGATCAGGAGCAAATGAATAAAGATGTGCATACTTTTCAGGTAAACATTAGCATGCTGAAAAATACTTGACTATTCTGGCAAGCTTCTTATAAACAGAATGTCAATGTATGATCAACTTGTCTATAACCCTGAGTTATAACCCTGGAATTATGATATAAGATGACTGTTCACCAAGATACTAAAAATTACTAAAATTTGTCATCAGAATATCAGGGTACGTCTGTAATTTAGTTAAGCAGAATCCATGTCTACTCCTCAAGTCATACAGCTCAGTCCAGCTCTGTCTCTACTTCAAGTCTCTTCCTCTACAACATAGGATGACTGCAGCCAAGCTGCCTGTTAAAAATAGATCTTGGTGTACGTTAATCTCTGAGCTATGCCTGGGGATTGTCTGGGTAAGTGGTGCAGGGCAAAACTCTGCTAGCAAATCAATAGCAGGAATGGTGGGTAGGATATGCTTTAATCTGTTCTTCACACTGTTTGTTAACAGGGACATCACCTCTTGGCCTCTCCTGGTAATATTAAAAGTCAAAATGCTGACAAGGAAGTTATGCAGTTCCTTAATGGATTATGTTACTGTATTTCACTTAGCTGTGCCATATGATAATTGTTTGCACTAAGGCTTCTCAGTATGAAGCAAGTGCCAAGTGATCCCTCACACACACAAAGATAGATACATGTTTAAGCAGAGGACATCCAGCAACAGCTAGTATAATGTGCACACATTGTAATAAAAAAAGGCAAGCCAAAACCATCTAGAACAGTGGTTCCCAACCTGTGGTCTGTGGACCCCTGGGGGACCGTGATGTCATCACAGGGGGTCTGTGAAGCTTAAAGCAGGGGTGGGGAACATCCAGCCCAGAGACATTTGGTCTGGCCCACGGCAAGCACTGCACCTCCTTTTCCCACAGCCTCCTCCCCTCAATGCTCCTCTCATACTTGAGCTCCCCACACCCCTGCCCTGACACACTAGTACATTCAGTGCTAGTATGGTTGATGGGACCCACTTTAACTAGGTGGTTTTTCTCTTAAAGACATTTTCTTAACCCAGTGGCCTTCTTTAGGGCTACAATGGGGCTTAAGTCTGTTCCTCGAAGTGGTGGCCCTAGACCCATAAACAAAAATATATGGTGACTGCACACTGACAAACAAGGGGGCAGCTGAGAAGGATTGTAAAACCGTTTCATCAAATTTTAATGTAAAAATTGGCATCAAATTCACAATTAGCACATCAAAATACCATAAAATGGGCCATTTGAGCAAGAACAGTGTTGATGCCATTATTTTAAATTCATATGGAATCACTGTAATGAAGTTATTATCATAAGGTTGACATAGCTCTTAGGTATATGGTGTAGCTGAGGACTGTCAGTGTTAGGTTAATGGCTGGACTAGGTGATCTTCAAGGTCTTTTCCAACCTTGATGATTCTGTGATTCTGTGATAGCAGTATGTGCATTAACAGATTAACTTATTTCCCCTCCTCTCCAAATTTGAAGACCCTTCCTGAGAGAATTGAAATAAATATTTGATGCAGTCTAGTGCTTTAAATCTTGAATTAAGTCTTGGTGGTCCACAGCCACAAAAAGTATTTAAAGGGGGTCTGTGGTGAAGGAAAGGTTGGGAACCCCTGATCTAGAGAGACAGAATTATTTTAGTATTACGCTGCTAAGTATTTTTCACTATATACCATTCCCACATACCTGTCTCTAAAGGGACACTGTAACTTGGTAAGCTCTGTCCTGCTGGTGATCTTGCTATAGCACTAACAGAGAAAGCAGATCCACAGGGAAGACTAATTAAGGTACAAGAATTTCCAGAGCTTGTGCAATGCCAAAATCCAGCCTCTCCTCTGGCAGTGACAATATATGTAGCTTCTTCGTTGTTAGATTGCCAGTGCACACTGATTACAGAAGGAGCCTCCTTTGAGATATTTTTAATTTCAGGACTGCAAGGAGCTGAAATATTTCATATTATTTCATATATTAACAGTATTTAAACAGATTGTTTATGCATTATTATATAAGTTACATATGAAATTTAAATTCCAGTTGGAACTGACAAACTACTTTGGAAAGTTATATGACCCTTTCCTTAAATGTTTACTCCTGATGAGAATTTAGAACTTGTGACAGAACTGACAACATAAGGATTTTGCATACAAAATGAGAGATGAATTGTAAATCTGATTTTCAAAAACTTGGAGCTATAAGAATCTTTTAATACAAATCTGGTTTTAGGTCCCTACAGACAGTATATTTTTAAAGACTTCTAGTATTTTTTTTACTTTATTTTTATCAGTTACAGTAATTTAGCACTCCAGTAATGCTTTTCATCAATGAATCACTGCAGTGTGTAGCTAATTGTTTCTTCTGCTAAATAAGAATGATCATAATACCTGTTGCCACATACTTGGATGCACATGACATGTTGCTGCCCCTGGCCTCACTGAAAGAATAAACCGCAATGCTGTAGCGGGTGCTGCACTGCAGAGCTGACAAGGTGCAGGCCGTGGCAGAGTCATTGCAGAGCACCGTGCTGCGCCAGCCCACGGCCCTCGTCTCGTACACTTCAGCACCTCGGGCTGGAGCCCAGCTCACATGCACCGTGTCACTGGACACCAACACGGCCTGGAAGTCACCGGGGCAACAAGGGGCTGGGAACAGACAAGGCAGAGAGGTGCACTTGAACATGAACTGAACACTGGCATGAAACTGAAGAGCCTTGTTTTAGATATCTACGTTTCATCTCTCAGATCTCCAAAGACCGACACTGTGCAAACAGTCTCATTAATCCCAGACCTACTTCCCGAATTAATGCAGCATCCCTCCTTCCAAATTATTAGAGGGCATTCTACTGTATAGGTAAGACATAGGAATTATGTATATCCTTGATTTGAAATTTCAAAGCCTCTAGAGGTCAAATAACTCTAACAATATTCTTCACAGTTTCCCATTGAACTTGTTATTTTTTCATTTTCCAAACAAAAAATTCTATGAGGAATTTTGACTTTGGTACACCCTTCCTGAGGCAAGAGAAAAAAAAGACTAGAATTCAAATGTTATGCCAGGACTATGTGTTATTCATTCCTCCTTGCCTAATAATTGTTAACTGTTAAACTCTTTAAAAGTTTGTAAGCATCTTGTTGTAACTGACTACGCAAGCTAAATTCAACTGCAATGTGAAGTGGTTCTTTTTCTCTGCCAACCTTTGTGTGTTTTGCCCCGAGACTGAATAAAAATAGAAGTTTAAGTCATTATCTTCCAATAAAAATGTCCAATCAGCTCTACTGTGAACACAGTTAAAGAATCCAAAACAAATTTGAGAGAATTCATTGCTACTCACCAGTAGTGTAATTGAATACATCACCTAAAGGACTCTGCCCTGCCTTGTTATATGCAAAGACACTAATGAAATAAGTGAAGCCACAGTCCGACTGAAAATGGCATTGGGTATGTGATGTGTTGCAGTGCACTTCGAAGCCATCATCACTCTTCACAAAAACCACATAATAATGACCAAAATTTACACTAGACCATGATACCAACAAGTGGCCAGATTCATCCTCTTCAATTGATATATTTACTGGTGCGCAAGGAACTGAAAAAAACATTTAAAAAAAGAAAGAAAAAAGAATTTTAATCAGAATATTTTTATTGAAATTATACTTCTGGGGAATAAAGGAAGACAAGGAATATAGAGAATTATTTTACTCAGCTTGAATAGTTGCTCTGTCTTGTTCAAGGAAACAGCAACTTGTCTGCCATTACAGAGGATGCTACTTACATTTAGATGAAAAATGAGTATGATTTTTACAGAACAAAATAGATGCTACCTTCATGTTTTACAAAAAAGTGATCTGCTTAAGGAGCCCCCGTGAGCAGCAACAGTGGCACCAGGCAGTATTTCAGAAGGAACTGGCACAGTGTGTGCTCACAAATGGGAGTTTTCTATGACAATCAGGATACTAGCTTGAATAGCAGATGGCATCCAAGAGCCTTTATGTGAAAACCTTTTAAATATTGGTATGAAACTCACTGGCTGTGTCTAAAAAGAGCTGTCCTTTGCTCAGGTTTCCTTTCTGGTGGCTTCCCAAATTGCCACACTAAACTGTGAACTCCATGGCTTTTGCTTAAATAATTGACTTTTCTAGTTCAAAAAGTTTAGCTTGCTGCTATTAGAATTACTATACATGATCTAGCTGAAGCAGTGTTGCTGAGAAGATTACAGCCCACAGCTTAAAAATTGTGTCTTGCTTAAGGCTCTCTTATCCCATTAGATCTACCTCTGAGTTGCTCACATGGATGGTCTCTAACTCATATCAGTGAGAAGTAAAAATGAGGCATGTTGCATCAAATAATTAAGTAAATAATGTTGTGTCTTCAAAGTAGCACAGAGTAACAAAAATGGTTTAGGTTTTGCTTACATGGGCAGTTCGTCTGGCAGGACAGGAAGCAGTAATCTCTGACATGGCAGTGGTGCTAAGGAGCTGAAACAAGCAACCTTTGTCCTGACAAAGCTGCTACCTGAGAACAGTCTGTGAAGGTATCTAATCTAGTCTAGTGCTGCTGCTTTAGCTGGATGTGGTTTTGTTGACTAACAACTAGATTTAGCCTGGAACAGTTCTCAGCCTAGGGCCAGCCCTTAAAGCTATCTCCTGACAGACTTCTCCCAATCTATTTGTGACAGATCTGACACAGTAGGACAGATCTGTTATTCCTTACATTCATCTTACACTCAGAAAATTGACTTTAGAAGAGAGTCTTCTGGGAAGAGGAAAATGCGGGCTTACTGGTTCAGCCAACAATATATACACCGTTGCAAGTATTTCTCTCAGAAATATGAAGTAAGTCTAGGCTCTTATCCCTGAAATAGAAAGATACATGGCACAGTTCATGCACAAAGTTCAGAAGCAGAAATAACTATTTGAGAATTCAATTCATTCAATTGTAATGGACTAATTTACATTTGAAATGAAAGAAATATATGTTAAAATGCCATAAGCTATACAAGGATCAGTGACACATACTCGTTTTTAAGCTTACTGCATCAGTAGGTTTACTGGATCCAGCATCATTGTATGCTGTGACAGAAACATAATATTCAGAGCCGCACTGGAGTGATGGCACCGCGCAGGAGGCAGAAGATGTGTTACACTTCAGTTTCAAGAGTCCACTGGAGGCTGTCACACTGTAAGTTAGAGCTCCTTCTGCTGGCATCCAAGAAACTACAGCTCTTAAAGCACCGCTATTAAAAGTTACTTGAACATCCGCTGGTGCATTAGGACCTATGGTGTATCAGTTTGGAACATACAAATACAACTTAGCACGTGACCTACAGACAAGCTTTTTCACAACTTGCAAACTAAATACAATTTTTGTGGTGCAGACCTTACCCTCATTCATATTAGAGAGACCATTTTTTAAAGAAATATCTCTAGTTGTACACCAGCAGAAAGCTTTCTGTTGAAACTCCTTGCCTTATTTGAATATTTACTTCTCACAAATAGAAAAATCTTCAAACCAGTCTAAGCTTGCATAATCCATACCCAGGCCTGTCCTAGGTACAACTTCAGTGGTAGTGAATGGTATTTTTGCCTCGGTAATATTCATCAAACATAGCCACTTCATCTGAGCTTTCATGAACTTTGAGATGGGCTAAAACCAGTATGATCTGAAAATCTACCTAATGTATCTTTGAAAAAAATAACACAATCACACATACACATAAATACTTCCTGGTATTTTTTTTTTTTCTTTTTTTAATGCTTACTTGGTTTCAAAAAAGAAAATTTCTTACTTGTTCTTTGGTTATATGTGAAATCATCTCCAGGTATCCCATTGACATTCCAGGCATATGCTTTGATAGTATAGAGAGTTCCTGGATCTAGACTTGTAAATATCAGGGAGGTATCGGTGGTGTTCTCCTTCACCATTCTGCCCAAACCATCGGATCTCATGAGGGACACAGAGAATCCAGCTGCCATATACACAGCTTTCCAGCTCACTGCAATGGAGTCACAACTTGGAGAACTAACAGACAGAATTGGAGCAGCCAGGACTGTTGAGAAAGAACACCAGTTAAGCTTTTGGTTTTTCAGTAATATTGTTTGAAAGAGCCAAATTTGAAATGAGTACACAGACACAATAATCGTCAAACTCTGAGAGACAAATTCAGCGACAACAAAACCAGAAAAAGACATTAATGCAAGACTGACAGAATAAATATGGAAACTGATTTGGTGCATCCATTATGATATTACAGGTTTTGTAAATTGAATGTAACTCATGCACATGAAAGGTTGAGTCTGTAGAAGAATGAAAATCACCAAGAAAATACTGCATTTCCTGTCCTCTAAGTTTTACATTGTCTTATTATTTTATACTTTTAGTTGTTTTTTCATTTCTTCCATTCCCTCAAGTTATGGCTTTTGTTAAAATTTGATTCTGTTAAAATGAAGTACAGATATTCATACAAATTCTAGTAAAACTTCCTAGTAAACATTTAACTTACAGCACCGTCATAAAGCAAGCATTAATTCAGACTCTTGTCCTGCTCATTAAGTCAGATGGCTGAATTCCAGTTCTCAAAAACTGAAAGGAGAATGTGATCAACACAATTTAAAAGACAAGCTTATAATAATTCAGCACTGGTACACACCTGGGCTATACCATTTGTTTTCTGTTCAAATAAATAAAAAAAAAAAAAAAAAAAAAAAAGAGCTTGCAGAAATGCTTTATATTATAATAACATTACAGAATATGAAATAAGAATTTGAAAGTCCACCTGTTTTTGCTTTTCTGAAAGGTGATGGCTGGCTTTTTCCTCCTGAATTTATAGATCTGATAGTGATTCTATACAAGGTGGCAGGTTTCAGTCCCGTCACTGTGCCTGGAGAATTTGCAACTATAGTTTCAATGAAGGAATCTCCATCCTGTGCTGTCAGCAGATAACTAGTAGCCCCAGGTACTGCTCTCCATTCCACTGTGATACTGTTGCTAAGTTTTGAATAAGCTTGATCAATAACAGGTATGTCTGGAGCTAAAATGGGAATAATGATAGCATACTGAAGTTGGGGAACTCAGCCCTATGAAACACTCAGCACTCTGAACATTTCACAAAGACAAAGTGTAGGACAAATGGCCTACACCTTCTATGAATGTTGAAGTTAAATTAAGTTTAAATGAACATTAACAAAATATACAGTCTTGAGATACTCTAGACCAACTTTTATCTTTCAATAAAAATATTCTAGTACCCTTTTTTAACCTAGGTTGCACTGAGAGGTCTTTTTGTCTTGCTATGTAGCAAATTAATTATACTGGATGTTTACAGAAAGCAATATACAAAGCAGTGGGTGTTTATACAAAACAGTCTGAAATAGGATGCTGAATCACAGGTATTGCTATATCAGAACAACATACAGTAATTTAGTTCAGAAGGGACCATGAGAAGTCATCTTATCCAACCCCCTGCTCAGAGCAGATATACTTAGATATACATGACACATCAAATATCACAGTTAAATGCTTTTCTATTATGCTATGCTGCAGGCTATTCAGAAAGAGCTCCTGTGTACTGCACTCACAAAAGTAACTGTATTTCTCAACCACAAGTAATTTATGTTCAGCAATCAGCATTTTCAGACTAGAATCAACACATGTAAAGCAAGTCCATATATTGCAAGGCTGCAAAAAAACTCACTAGAAGAGAAAAAAAAGATAAAATGAAGGTGTATCCCACCTAAAATTAAGAAAAGGAATGAAAAAGTATTTGGCACAAAAGTATGCGCCTTGAGGCAAACGTTAATTTGTAGCAAGGCAGATAATCGGGGATTTCAGAGACCCTAACAACTATTATACATGGTTATAAAACTCCTGAGCATTATGTCTTCTCTCTTAGTCTCAAGCATTTTCTTTTTCAGCTACAGTCAGACACCCTCTTTCGCCCCATTTGTAAAAATGGTAACATATTCTATATGATCATGCCTATGTAACATTTTCATGTGTGTCTGTAATCTTTGAGCAAGCTTTTGCACTATGTTTTGTTTTTTTTTTTTTCTTTTAAAATACTGTCTTTAGTAACAATTCATTACCATTTCTGTACAGGAAATCCTCATGCAAGTCTAAGGGAGTTGCTTGCCTAACAGTTAAGTAAAGAATACACAGCACGTGATTTATATCAGAAATAAAATACGTAACAGTATAATCATTAATATCTGCTCTCTCCTAACTAAAATAGAGGGGTTTTTATTCCCTTCAGGTAAAACATTACTACTTTTTTATTTTCAATTTTTATTGTAATACTTTTATAAGAAACAAATTCTACTGGAAAAATAATGGCTATTTCTAAAAATTAACAGTTAAATTATCTTAGAAATGGAATTTCAACAGAATACTTTCAAAATTACATTTCAGTGATGAAATAAAAAAGCACTTCTGTTTATGTAGGTTCTTCTTCAATATCCACCAATGACTTATATGCTACAAGTCCTATTGTGAATGAAACAAAAATAATGTTTATCAGTATTGAAAAATGTATATAGCTCCACATCTGCATTTGAAATTAAAGGGTAGGTGATTTGGAAAGCTGCAGTCTGAGCAAGCTGTGCGTGGCAGGTCTGGGAAATACTTAAAAACGGAGGGGAAAAGGAGCTAATCATGCTAATATTGAACTCGGGAGGAGAAGCAGCAAGAGGCTTCAATGGGAATGACGGCTATTCCTTACCAGTACAATGAAACATCAAGGATAAAATCCCAGTCCTACAGGGGTCAATGGAAATTTTATGTCACAAAGTTTTCTTACTAACCAGTTGACTGCATAATCTGTGTTTCTGCAAGAGTAATTCCATTCTTGTCAATGGCTTCTGCTTGTATAGCATAAACAGTATCGGGAATTAATGAAGTTAGAGTTCCTTTAAGTGTAACATCACTAAAATGAGCCAGTAATGGATGTCCTACAGTATTCACAGCTGTAGCTATGACTCTGTAAGATGAGGCTCCTGAAAGCTTGGGCCATCTGAGATAAATGTTTCGTGATGTCACATCATATACAGACAGAGAGAAACCTAAAAAAAAAATAAATATATATATATCATAATCAAAAAACCATTTCAGTCATTCCTGAATGTAGTTCAGTCTTGACAAGTAGATGTCAGTGTCTTATCAAGCATCTATGTGACCTAATTTTCAGATGATAGGCAGTCCCTTGAATTGGACTGCTATTTCCCTTGTTCATTGTTGTAAACCATTAATTACTGTAATAACTGCTGCTTGCTCTCATAATATCATGTTGTGATGATGGTTATTCTTCTTAAAACCCCCATATGCTGTACTCTATTTTAGAGAAATACTGGGTATAATCTGCATGTGAGTGTACAACCAGTGTCAACAGTATTCCACACATGAATAGGCTCAAACGCTTGTTTTGCAAATCATGACAAGAATATGCTATAGTAAGTGTTCAGATACTGCAACATGTCTGCAATGATTAAGCATTTAAGACCCTTGACAGTGCAGTATATACAGGAATGTGTACTACACCCAGAGAATTAATGAATTCTGAGAGTGGTCCTTGCTATCTTGCATTCCTTATATTTTAAACTAGTCCGTATTCACATTTAAGGCAATATGATCTGCAGGCAAAAAATTGAAGACTGAGGAAAGTATAAAATGTTGTAAACCATCGGAAATATTTGCACTTAGGAGATCATGCTTCTTCTGGCGTGGGGTTTTTTTGGGGGGATGGGGAGTTTGCTTGTTGGTTTCTTTTTTATTAAAAGATACAAGAATTAATTGGGTGAGAATATGGGACAGTTTGAATCCCATTTATAGCACAGTTATGTAGGTAACGAACAGCACAATTTATCCAGCTAAGTGTTCTCCCTGGTTCACGCTAGTGTCAAGGCATAAGTGGTCTGTCAAAATCTTTGTGCGAGCATCCAACGGAATTGGCACTCCTAAAAATGAGGTTTAAAATTCATAGAAATATCAACATAGATTTTTTAAAGCTGATTCAAACTTCAAAACAATTTTTGTTTATAAAGCTGCTAGAACTTAAATAATTTATTAGAAATCACACGTTTGTGTGTTTTCTTCAGACCCATTCAAAAATAAACGGGCAAACCCCAAATACCATTTTGAAGATTTACCTGTGTTAGCTGAAAAGATCTGAAAAGGAAGATGTAAAAAACAATTAGAAATACAAAGTGAAATTTTTTCTTTGGAAAAATAAAAAACTAGGAACATTAGTAACAACAATAAAATACTACATTTTTAAAACACATTTTTAACACATTTTACTGATATGATGTATTTGTTCAGATTCTTTAAGCACAAAGTTTATGCGACCAATGAGATTTGGTACAGCTATGCAGATAGTATCACATCTTCATGTTCTTCTCTGAATCTGTCTACTGATCCATTTTTCAGTTGTTGACAGACTTCAAAAGACCTCGGGTCCTAATATATTATTTTTCAGTCACTTGTAAACAGTGCAAAAGTGTAATAGTAACAAAATAAGAATATAGAAGTCAGTCTCTAACCTAACTTTTAGTTTACTTTATAAAATAGTATCATTCTTGAAAATAGTTTTAAAGCAAATGAGTTATACTCACCATTTCGAGGCAGTTGAAAAGCAGTCCAATAAATACCAATGATTTACTTTTTGCACCGCACATCTTACCAGAACTTTGTTCCAGCCTTCATATGGGGATGAGCTCAGGTCGATCCCTGCTGTGACCATTAATATTTTGCAGCAGTAGGTTTTACTCTCTGGGAGGAGAGGAGGTTGCGCTAGGTTAGGCCCTCCTCCCTGCTGGACTGCAGCCTGCCAGTGGTTAGCAAAACCGTGGCGAAATGAGTCCCACACAGCACTGAACTTCTAGGCAGGCAGGTGGTGGGGTTTTTCCCCTTCTGTAACAGGATACAGTTTCTGCATTGCTTATACAAGATTCATAAAATAATTAAGCCCAATGTAAATTCGAAATTTGCTGTTCAGCTTATTATCTATTGTCATGTTTGTCCATTACAAGGATCTTTTTTTCTCTCACTAGCGACACCCTCGTCACCCTTCTCTTTGAATGGAAAACCGCCATGCCGACCGGGAACCACTCCTCTTCATGCTTCGTGTTGTGGAAATTTTCCTCTCATTTCTTTGTATCTGCTGTTTCTCCTTTGACAAGACGCCTTTATGACTTCAAACTCTAACTCTTGACAAGACGATTTTAGGCGTCAAGAAACAACATCTTTCTATGAACCAACAGTGTTTTGGTGGCTTACAGAACGCAACAGGGAACCTGGGGCCCGTTTTGATGCGGGAGCCACGGCGGCGAGGGGAGTTTCACACCCCGAGGGGACCCGGGACCACGGCAGGTTCCGCGAGGCCCCCGGCTGCTCCTCACACCACGCAAGGAGCCCGCCTCGGGGCTGGGGAGGCGGCTCCCGGCGTCCCGGGCTCACCTTTCGACAAGCGCCAGGAGGTCCCTTCCTCAGGGGACGAGCCCTGGTCACCGGGCGCTTCCCCAGAAGGCATTTCACACCCCACCATCGCAGGGAAAGGCGGCACCGG